GAAGAAAAAAAAAAAAAAGAGGCGGCGCCACTACCCGGAGCCGATCCTGATAGATGTCGAAATCCACACATCCTTTACTACCTCGTTTCCGAGATGTTGAAACTCGACCGGCTGTCGGCCATCTGTTTCGGCAACTTCAAGGCCGAAGTCAGAACCGTTCGGTCTGTACCAAGAGCTAAGTGCCAGGCCTGAGATCCTAGTCTGCTAAGAGTGGAAGGAGGAGTGGCTGGCCAGTGGGTATTAACCCTCCACAAAAGTTTAAGCCGGGAAAGTAAGGAGAAGTGGGGTGAAGAACGAGAGGTGGCTGACGGACGACCACCAAGAAGATAGATCTTTCCCAGACGCCGGACCTCTGTACAGGACATCTAAAGGGGACTTCCTACGGAAGAAGAGTCCGACCAGCATTGGAAAAAATGGAGGTGTAATTTCCGACGTGCTCAGCAGGGTTCCGCCCCTTCACCACGTCCCCCCACCCTCCCGCTTCTATGTCCTTCTCTCTTTTGATTTTCTTCTTCTTTAACTCTCCGACAGGGATGTTTAGAGGCCGTAGAGGTCGTAGAAATACTTGCCGTACTTTAGTTTGGTTTCTTTTTCGACAAGTTTAATATTATTGTGTTTGTTACCCTTTCTTTTGACATTTCGCCCTGAGGCCCAGCGTACATGGCGGCCTCGGCGGTGCAGTGGTCCCAAGGGGCTTCCTTTAGCCATGCCCCTCCCCTACGATGTCGTCCCCCCCGAATGATGCTGACAAAATGCGGATCCACGATCTTTTGAGTTTGTGTTTTAATGACGGGATACTCCCACACAAATTAGCACCCGGAACAGTAACAGTTGGGGAAGACTTCGTTAAAGTAGTGGTTAATCCGGACCTTGTCCGCCTTCAATCCGAATGGTTGAAAGACCATGCAATATCGATATTTTTTTACGATGACTTTTCCTCACTTCCCGTTGACGTCAAGAGCAGGATTGTACCGATTTACGAGAACGAATGGGCAACCACAAGAGAAATGGGTGCCCCTCCAAAACGAGGCCTATTCCGAAACGAGGGCCGCAACCTCGTGACGTATGTAGCATCGGCAAAAGAAATCGCTACATAGATGCTGCGAAAAAAGGAGGTGAGTATTGAATTGGATAACGTTGGACACATAATATACTTTCGACTATGGATGTCGGAAGTTCAATTAGCGGAATGGAGGGATGCCATGAAACAGAATTTTTTTTGAATCCGGTGCGTCGACGTTCCGGTTTCTGCCATGGGGTTCCTGAAGGGGGCACTAGAGGAAGCATTTGGCCCCATCATCAGGGAACCCCAACCATTCAAAAATCCATTGGAGCCTGATTTGAGAGATATACGTTTTGCATTCTGCGCGACCATCCTGTGGACTGAGACGTTGACACTTTTAGGGTCAAAGTTCTTCGACCATTGTGGTGAGAGGTCGTGGGCAGAGGGGATGGGGAGCAACGCGACCGGGAGCGCTGCGCCCCACGCGAATTCTGAAGCGGCCGCGCGTTGCGCGAATTTCGAAATGGTGGCGCCCCATGCGACTTCTGATGCGGCCTCGCCTCGCGCGAACTTCGAGACGGGCGCATCCCGCACGAGCTTTGAACGTGCGCTGAGGTGTGTGACGATGATTGGTGTGTGTAAAAATGCTTACGTACATGGAGGGCGATGTGGAGTGAGTTTGGATATGTGTGA